GAATACTTAAAAAACAAGAAAATCTTTTACTTGGTAAATAATTTTTTTTTATTTATTATATCTCCAATAAATATTAATATTATTTTTATTTCAATATTAAGTGTTGGACAGATGGATAAGTAGCAACCATCATTTTTATTTTTCTTTAGTTGTAATTACTCTTGAATGAAAAGGTATGTAATTAAAGTTAAAGACTGTTCAAAAAACTCTCACACTGGTCTTTTTACAGCAGAAGAAATAAAGAAAGTCCTTAAAGATATAGGCCCACAGCGTTTTTCTTCAGTAGTGTCAGATGGTGCTAGCGCTATGCAATTAGCTAAGAGATTAATATCTGAAGAATATCCTAAAATTTTGCCAGTTCATCACATGCAATTAATTTGTACTGATATTATGAAAAAAAATCCATTTTCAAATAATATACTTATTAACTATCAGAAATTTGTTACTTATTTTGCTGAGTCACATCAATCTGAAGCTACTCTTCATGTAGAAATCAAAAAAGAGTTAATTGTTGGAGGTGGATTAAAAAGGTCTGTTAAAACAAGATGGAGTATTGCTTGGGATTGCTGTACATCAGTATTACATTTAGAAACTATTTTCAAAAATGTAAGTGAAATTGTAGTTAATTTCTAAGGGCGGTGACATATATTACGTAATATCATTTTATTATAGACGCTTACCCCCCCCACCCCCAGGTAAGATATCCTGATCACGTGAATACAGATCATTTCCTTTTATAGGATTATTTATTGGTATTTCATCATAATGATCATATTTCATCAGAATTTTTTTTAAATTGATTTAATGTTCTGTTCATTTTAATGATATAAAGCATGTTAAATAAAATTATACAAACAATTTTGTTTTATAAGAAAATTTTATTGTAAAATAATCTAATTTATTTTTACAAGTTTATTTTATATTAAAATTCTCAATCCCCCATGTTCTGAAATTCTAAAATCCCAAGTCCAAAAATCGTAAATTTTCATATAATCAAAGTATGAATTGAACACACAAATCAATAATATTTAATGATATACAGTATAGCGATTGTGATACCTATTACTGTTTATAGCTGCGGTTCGCATTTTCTCGTTACAAAAGAAGAAATGTGAATTACCGCAGCACTTCGCACAAATGCGTTTAACTTAAATTTAAACTCTAAACTTTTTACGCGTCGATATTAAACTTTATTCACAATTTATATATTCCTAAAGTTTTGTAAGCTGTTTTTTTATTGTTATCAAAATCCAACAAAATAGCTTAATATGAACCGTCAACCCTTTTTTCTCAGCCCCAAGTTTAATAAGAAACCAATTTATAGTTTACAAACAAATAAATATCAAGAATTTACCAATGCCTACGTATATAGTATTATGGTTAAGATGGGGAATGGTGATCCTAATCGCTCTGAACTTTGTGAATCAGCGACTAAAGAATGAAACAAAATTAAAAGAAAAGATAAACCGGAAATTGAGGATATTATTAGAGATTACCTGGCCACACCATATAATTTATGTGATATACAAACAATGAGGTCAATACCATCCGGATCTAGAGAAGAATCTCTTCCAAATCTTCCCACGATTCGTACAATGGATCCTGTTCCAGAAATCTCTGTTAATGCATCATCTCAACAAAAGGCAGCAAACGAGATACAAATAGCTGAAAAAAAGCTTACCGAGTTTGAGCAGATCTACAACATCACAACTGATTCTCAATTTTGGCTTGATACTTTTAAAAAAATAGGAAGCCTTCGAGATGAAATCAGATCTAATAAGGGAAAAATCATCAAATTAAAAAGAAATGCTAATTATGCTCAAAAGTGCAGAGAAAAGAAAAGAAAAATACTCGACGAAAATCAGGAAGTAATACGATATGACAAACCTG